GCCGCTCCCGGCCACCGCGGCCTCGACCTGCTGGGCTCCAGCAATCCTTCCGCCTCAGCCTTCCGAGTAGCCGGAATTACAGGCGCGCGCTACCATGCCCAGCTAATTTTTTGATTTATTGTAGAGATGAGGTCTCGCCTGCCCGGGCAGGTCTCGAACCCACGGGCTCAGGCAATCCACTCACCTCAACCTCCCAAAGGCATGGGATTACAGGCTAAGCCACCGAGCCCGGCTTGTATTTGGTTTTAAGGGAACCAGATAATGAACTTGGATGGATTATACCCTAACCATTGCTGTGAGAAACAACTCAGTGTATCTCTGCCAGTAGTGAGGCAGTCTACTGCCAACATGTAGAGAGGGTCACACGCAAAGACCCTGTTGTATCTTGTGGCCTGGCCTGATTTGCAGGACAAGAAGAGCAGTTACGGGCCAAGTATGCCCAGCCCCATATCCCCAGCAGACTTCTCATGTCTATGAATTCATAGCTCCACCTGCTGATGCCTGACCTGGGGCCCGGGACTGGACAAGCATGCCTGAACCAGGCAGCTGCCTGGGATTCTGACTCTGGAAGGAGAAGGAGAAGAATAAAAGGATCACTGGGCTCTGTGCTGAAGGGGGTGGAAAGGGAGGAGCTCAGAAGTCCATGCCAAAGAGCAAATCTTCTAGACATTTCTAGATCCAACTAGTCTAATGATGCTAGAGTTGCCCGGACACTCACTGTGGACCTGGAGTGAACAAAACTGCTCATCCCACCCAGAGCAGCTGCCTGACTGCTCTGTTCAAGACACTGGGTCACACCCTTGGGGAAAGACTGGGGTTGGAAAGACTTAGAAGTGAGACCCCTTCGGGGTGGCCATGTCGTCTTCTCTGGGGGAGGTGAGCCCCCTCCCCAGTGTAGTTTGCATGCTTCACACAGAGCTCCAGCCCCAGAAGTGCTGGCTGGATGACTGGGAGAGGACGCTTGAACGTACTTTTGCAGAAAAAGCAAAAAGATGGAAAAGGTTTTGGGGTGCGGAAGAGCAGAAGAGAGAAGTGCTGCATGATACCTGGCAGGTGCTGATCACTTTTTAAAATGAATCAGGAGAATGGCTTTTTCTCGGAGCTGCAAAAAAGAGAATCAAAAGCATGGTAAATGGGAAAGGGGAAAATGAAAAGGCACAGTCACACGATGATGGGAGCAAATGGTAGGGGATTCGGAGAAGATGCAAATAGTAAAATTTAAGCGATTAGAGAAACAAATGACAATTCTGAGGCTGACTTTCACCTTGGATCAGCCACATGGTTGCCAAAATGTCTAGACTTCCAAGCACACAAGAAAGCGCTCCTTAGATTTAGTCCCTAGATTTCCTTCGATTGAACCAAACAGCCAGCTGTCCTCGAACTAATTAGTGAGGTCCAGGGTGGGCTGGTTGGGGGTGAATGGCACTGAATGACCGGGTCTGAGTCATGAGTCCTGCCCTGACAACACCATGTTAGGGGAACTTGGTGTGCTCATAGGCTAGGCTGAGGCACTTACTTCAACAGTGGTGCTGGGGATGGAACACCGTCCAAAACACAGAGAACGAGATGGGAAAGGTGTGCTCCCAAGCCTCGAGCCTGGGGTATGGGTGCTGAATCACCAGAACTTTAAGATTTTTCTTGGGTAACTCCTCTCTGCTCTTTGAGAGCATATTTAGGCATCACTACCTCAGGGAAACGCCGCCTGACCTGTCTTCCACTCCAGGTTAGATGTCCCAGAACACAGTCTGTTTTCATAACTCTCCTTCCAGGATAGGAGCTCCTGCAAGGCAGGGACTTTGTCTTTGTTTCTGTATCCTTGGTACAGTGCAGGTCTTGATGTAATTGATGTTTTCTGGGTGACTGAGAGAGAATGCATGCATGTACATTTGCAGGAATGTTTCCTAGAATGGGACACGGCCTCCTGCCCAGAGGGGACACAGCTACGTTGGGATGGCAGCCCTCAGGAGTGGTAGGAGCATCTGCTTCATGAAGCCGGTACTTCTGGGACTGGAGCTCTGGTTAGAGCTCTGTGCTAAGCACGTAGACTGCAATGGGGGGGGAGTCTACCTCCCCAGGAGAAGACAATATGGCCACTCCGAAGTGGTCTCATCAGTGCTGCTCTTGTCTCTGATTCCCAAACCCCAGGGACTGAGTCTACCCTTACTCTGGGGCCCCAGAAGTGTGTCTGGTCATACCAATCTTAGGATTCTATTTTCTTCACATTCACCCCTTTCTTTCTATTGCACCACCCCCTGTGGGTCTCCTCACAGTCTCCCTGCCTCTCATCATCTTTTCCTGACTCTAAAACTTGCACACCATTGCCCTAAGAATGGTCCTTAAACACTGATTACCATGTTATCACTTCATGAAAAACTTCAGTGAGTCCTCAGTGTTTCCAATATTAATTCTAAGGCTCATTTCAGGCTCTCCCCAGAGTTTGCATCCTTATTTCTCACGTCTCACTTTTCCAGATCTGTGTACCCACCTATAACCTGTTCTCCCCATATGACCTGCACTGCTTCCTCCTCACAGCTCATGCTCTGTCCCTCTGAGTGCCCTCACTTTTCCCTCGGAAACAAATCCAATCCTACCTCTCCTTAATTCCTGCATTTTTCACAAGGTGTTTTCTGATCTTTTTTCCCACAGCAATCTTTTCCTTCTCTGCACTATTATACTCCTAGAAAAGTTGAACCTATGTCTGTTGTCTCAACTACTCCATTGACACTTAATCATGTGCTTCTTTGTACAGGTACTTGCCTTTCCATTACTAGGTTACAAAGTCTTTTGTATTCCTGCACAGCACCTAGACAAGTGCTGGGCATGGAGTAAGTGCACAATAAGTGTTAAGTGAAAAAGTAAAGGGAAGTGTGCTGAGTGAAAGGGGGCAAATGGGGAACATGGCTTTTGAGTTCTTTGGTTTTGCTTTAGTTCAGTGTGAATACAATGTGTGCCTTTTGGCTTGACATTTAATTGTGGAGGCTCCTTTCTACATTGGTAAATTGAGGATAATCTTACCAGCTCTACAGAAGATACAGATTATGGGAAAAGCAAATAAGAAATCATACATGTAGGTATTTTATGAACTCCTAAAGGCAAACTACTAGGGTTTCTCTTTTAATTTAAATTATAAAACATTTTCCTTCTTCCTTTCAGACTTGCGACCTTATTCCTCGAAAGAGGGCCCAACAGGATAGGCAGTATTTACAAAAAGGCCATTTACAGACACTTTACAGATGGGACCTATTCCACAGAGATCCCCAAACCTTCCTGGCTTGGATTCTTGGGCCCCATCTTGAGGGCTGAAGTGGGGGACGTGGTTGTCATTAATTTAAAGAACTTTGCTTCCCGACCTTACTCTCTACATCCACATGGCGTTTTCTACAACAAGGATTCAGAAGGTAAATATAAATCATCTATTGTTGGAGTCTTGTTTCTATTCTGTAAGTAACTGTCAGCTGCAGTGAAAGGGATTCCAAGAGCACAATGCACATGTCTGTCTGTCTTCTTCTTCCGGTCTCCTTCTCTCTCCTCCATCTACCTGTCCCCTCCCTTCCTCTCCTTCCCCTTTCTTTCCCTTATCTCCTTCCTCCCTTCTTTCTTGCGCTTCTTCTTGTTGACAAAGAACTGAGTGAGGGACTCCTTGGCATGTGCTCCACCCAGCCCCAGAAGCACACCAGCTTTCTTCCTTGTCGCTCAGGTGGGCCTGGGTGCACACTGGCCCAAGAGCCACATGCTCCTGTCACCGGTGACAGCCTCAGCTGTGGTGGGGTTATCTCTGCAGGAGCTGTGGCCCTGCTGTAGGCTGCTGTCTTTCCTTTCTGAAGCCCTGGCTTTTTGTGTAGACTTGAGGAGTTCCAACTGGTCAGCTTCTGAATTCCTCTCTAATTAAAAAAAGCTAAACATCAGTCTTAGACTTATGAGATGGAAGTACTTCAACGTCAGAAGTGTTTTTGCACCCCTCATTGCATTCTTGCTCATGACTGGGTGTAACGGGTTGAAAGGTGCTGCCCCTGCCAGGTGACACCTCTGGGAAGCGTGTCGGCACAATGCCATGGACTCTGGTGCACACGGGTGCGACTCTGGAAGGGCAAATGTCCCAAGGCAGCTACATGTGTTTGGCCAATGCGCTCGCCAGGGCTGTGCAAGCAGCCAGAGGAGAACACTTTGCCGACGAGCCCAAGGTTGGTTTGTCCTCTGTTCTCGGCCCATTTCCTCCAACCGGAGGCAGCAAAGATGCGGCAGCTCCTGGGTGTTGAGGTTGAGCACATGACATTGTGGCAGGCAAACGTTAAGGAGTTTGCAAATGGAAGGTATCATTATGAGTGCATTTTCTTTCCTATGGTTTTATAAAAGTGCTGTTTATGCTGCAGGTGGAAAGAACAGATGCTTCTGCCTGTCTTTTTAAGTAAGGAGAAAATATGGCATCCTCAAGCCCTTCATTTTTGTCTTCATCACTCTTGTGTTTCTGGAAAGCGTACCTTACTGAAAAATCATGTAGGCCAGTGATTCCAAAGCTTCATGGAGCCACAGACCTTTTAAAAAAAACTGTGGTACGATACAAGTGTCCAGTTCAGTGGTACCAATTACATTTGCAATGTTGTATGACCATCACCACGATTTCCAGAACTTTTTCATCATTTCCAATAGAAGCCCGGGACCCATCAAGCAATACCTCCCATTCCTCCCTCCTTCCAGCTCCTGACGACCTCCACTCTACTTTCTCTCTCTATGGGTGTGCCTATTTTAGGTCCCTCATGTAAACGGAACCATACGATACTTGCCCTTTTGTATCTGGCTTGTTTCACCGAGCATAACGTTTGCAAGGCTTACCCATCCTGTAGCGGGCATCAGAGTTTCACTCCTTTTTAAGACTGAGTAATATTCAGTTGCACAGATATACTACACTTTGTGTATCCACTTAACGTTGATGGATGCTTGGGTCCTGTGGCCCATCTCTCGGGTACTGTGAAAAATGCTGCCATGTACTTCGGTGTATCATGGATCCTTCTGAGCACCTATGGTAGTCGTGAGCCCTTATCAGAAAAATATGTATGTGTGCAAAATTTTGAACTCACCTTTAAGGGGTTTTCCTAGCCCCAAAACACTCCTGGGACCCTAAATTCAGAATACTTTAAATGCTGCTTACCCAGGAAGCCTCCTCAATGTCCTGTCAGTAGACTCTCCCACCTCAGGAAGGAATGTGTTGGTTTACCTCATAGCACCTATTCAAAGCAGTGCAGTAAAAGCAGCCTTTTCGGTCGGCTTCCTTGAGTGTGTCTGTGTCTGCATTAGACGGTAGGCTTCCCAGGGGCACAGATTATTTTGCATCGCTGGGTCCTGCTCCCCAGTACCTGGCCCCGTGCCTGGCAGGCGAAAAGCTCTCTCTGTGCACTTTCTGGTATTGTGTAGCCTATGGGCTTAGTAGATATGATTTATATTATTATGAGACTGAAAGTAATTTAAAGTTAGTGTGTAAAAGAAAGTTAAGGAAGTAAATAAGTAAAAAAGTAGTTTGCACACTACTGATCACTTTGAAGGGAAGTCAGACACACATGGATTCAAATCTGGCTCAGCCACACGCTAGTAGTGTTTTCTTAACATAGTCAAAGAAGTGGACATTGATGCCTATCCCGCTGGGCTGCTTTAAAGAGTGAAGATGATAATATATACAAAACTGGCACGTCGTAGGGACTTAACCGTCGGTTTTCCTGGCAACCCTCTCCAAACATCAAGTTACGTGTTCATGATAGAATTTGTTTAAAATTTATCGTTAGGTTTTTTTAGTTGCATCTTTTCTTTGGCTTGCCTTGGCTATACTGGCTCTGGTTGTATTGTTTGGATTTGTATTCCTAATGCCTGGCATATTTTTTTTAGCATGTGGTCTATATCTGGTTCATATAGTTGAATGAGTGAACGAGTGAATGCGTGGCAAATGGACCAGGAGTGTGTCCACATCCCTCTCCCTCTGTGTCCCTCACCCGCCAACCTTTTCTCAGTACCAGTCCAACTCCTCTCAGTCCTTCGAGGTCCCTCAAATCCAGCCTTTGTTTTGAAGCTTCTGACCATGACAACGTGCACAGACTGGCGGTCTAGCTTCCGCCCAGGTGGTTTCACACTATTTTTAGCAGTGGACTTTCCTTAATTGAAGACTCCTGTGTGGTCCTAGTTTGTAAAACTGGGAGGGAGGGGCTGCTCTGCCTGCTTGCCCACCCGAGACTTGCACTCTGCACAGTACAGGTCTTTCCTGGGGTATCCCATGCATTCTGACCCAAAGTCACTTTCAGTGCCTCACCCTGCTTTATTCTCCAATTGTCCCACATGTTCATAATATGTATGCTGGTCTGCCCAGCAGGACTGTAAGATCCCTGAAGGCAGGAAGAATGCCTCACACTTCCTTCCTGTCGTTTATGAGACCCACACAGGTGCTGAGTCTGTAATAAGTCCCCAAGGAGTGCTCATTATTTCTTCTTCCGCTTTTCCTTCCCTTCTTGAGCTTATGTCAAGGGTAGTGAGATCTTCCCGACCGGTGGAGTAGCCCATCAGAAGAGTCCCTGTTACAAACATTGCCTAAGCTCCTGGTTCTATGCAAATCACTCGGTATACACTGCCTCACTTAATTCATATTTCCCTGTGGGGTAGATGTCCACACTCAAATTTTACCGATAAGAAACAGAGGCATTGTGAGTTTAAGTACCTTGCCTCACGTTCCATAACAAGGACGTTTTTATTCAGTTATGTTTGATTCCAAAACTCTGGCCCTCTCCGCTCTAGCCTGCGATCCCTGTGTTTTAACCATGCTTCGTCTTTTCTTGGAAGGAGCCCTATACCCAGATGGAACATCTGGAAAGAATAAAAATGATGACATGGTTCCTCCTGGCGGAAACTACACCTACGTCTGGCCAGTCAGAGAAGAATACGCACCTGCCCCAGCGGACGCCAACTGCCTGACCTGGGTTTACCATTCGCACATCGACGCTCCAAAGGACATCTGCTCTGGGCTCATCGGCCCCCTGCTGGTGTGTAAGGAAGGTAAGGGGGCCTTCCCATGCCCCCCGAGGTTGCACCCAGGTAACGGGTGTGTTGAAGTGTAGCCAGATTCAGGTCTGAACCTCCCTTGGTCCACACGGGATATGCTGCTTCTTCCAAACTTTCTTTGAGAGAGGGAAATTCTTCTAATGTGGAAGACCAATCAGCCAGCCCAGCAGAGGGCAGCAGTTCGGATCCTAGAGTCAGCAGAGCATTTTAGAGACTTACGTGCTTATTATTGTGTTTTAAATTATTGTATTCCATAACGCCACATGTGGGAAGGCGAACACATGGTTGAATAACCAGGAATGCTTTTTGCTTCATTTCACTCAAATAGTCAGTTGGCTATTTTGTTCCTTATTAACTGATTCAGTGTGTCTGTGCTTTGCCAATAAAGTCAACTTCCTTTAGGGAAAGCCCGGTTTCCAAGTCAGCTGTTTTGTGGCTTTTTTCTTCTGTAATGCTGTCATTTTCATCTGAAGCTTTGCTGCTGCTTTTCTGTTGAGGGCTATTCTTGTACACACAGGTCTTTAGCAGATTCAAACGTACCCAACACTATTGGCAGAAAGAAAAGATCATCTTGATTTAGCTAGCCTTGAACTTTTTTCTCTACCTTTTTTTAAATGTGCCTGGTAGGTAAGCCATCTTGATTTAGTTCTCTACTCTTTGAATGTGCCTGATAGGTACTCTGAATAGGAATTCAGGGACCAGGACTGATGTAGATCGAGAGTTTGTTATAATGTTCACGCTTGTGGATGAGAACCAAAGCTGGTACCTTGATGAAAACATCCAGCGTTTCTGCACTGACCCCAAATCAGTTGACAAAGAAGATGCTGTTTTCCAGAGGAGTAACAAAATGCACGGTGAGTGTCTCCTGCATTCTCAGACACATAGCAGTGCCTTCCATTCTGTGAGGAATGTGGAACACAGCAGCGGTGGACCTAGCTTGGCAGAGTTTATAACTTAGCGATGAGAATGGTTAGAAAGGGATATGAGACATGATACAGACCAGAACCTAAAACAATCTGAGAGAACACTGCAGTAGATACAGACTAAATTTGTCAGACAGGGTAGACAAAGTTGTGATATAGGAAATTGAGGGATCAGTGTTATACTGTAATCAGGAAAGAGTCCAGGTGAGCCCAGAGGATGGGTGGGCTTAGAGCAGCCAACAGGAGAAAGGAGAATGAAATCACCATCATGTAAGAATTCTGAGTTTTGCAACCTCTTGCTCTATCCAGCAGCCGTCTTCTGAGTGGAGGCTAAATGTTAAGAACTGTGCTGTGCATGGGGCTTAAACACTCGTGAATTTGTTGTGTTTCTCAGGTATTCTTTAAATCAACAAAATGTATTGCATATCCACTATATACCAGACCCTGCATTTGTTTAAAATAGTGAGATTTCCTAGCTACCCTATCAGCTGAGATAGAATACTTAACCATGCCTGTTTTGCAGAGCAGTGGTTTAAAGTAGCATTTTAGGACATGGGGACTGAGTGGTCCCCTTCCGCTTTTCCCCTAAGAGTTCTAGTGAACATAAAGGAAATTGTCAATGTAAACATTCCACTTCATTCATTGACAAATCTCTTCCATCTCTTGCTTGTCTTTGTCTCTTAGAATTGTCTAACCAAGGCAGCCTCAATGTAGTCATAAAAACATAAAAGGGGGTGAACTGAAGATCATTTGACTTCCTCATTTGCAGATGATGAGGTCAAGTGACCAGCAATGACTTATCTAAGGTCAAAGTGATCATTAGTGCCTGAGACCTGATAGAAGGCCCCACAGCAAATACATGTTAACTTTGCTGTGTTTGATTCTCAAGCGTGTCGAGGCGCGATTGTCAGAACACTGACTGTTTGCTTTGCACACGTGCTCTGTTCCTTCCAGTGACCTTTCAACAGCCTCGTACGTGGTGATGCTTGGAAAACATTTTAGGAGGAAAGAGAGGGAGGGAGAGAAGGAGAACGGGAGGGAAGCAGAGAAAATGATGATGGATGAGGTCCGCGAAGACCTAAATTCAGGTCATTGTTTTGGCCAGTTTTATTCCTGCGCTCTACAAAATGGGAGTGATTATCTCAAATATTGCTGAACACGACTAATTATAATGATTTAAAACTCACCTGCTCCCATAGTCCCTTACTTACTCTGTATTTATTCTTTTGGAATGAGAATGTTCAGCAAAAAGAAATGAATTACATAATCAAATATAGAATGTTTAAAAAATAAAAGCCAGCCTGTATGCTGAAGTAGGTGTTTGCAAACCATCCGATCCTTCTTCTTGACTGGCAAAGTCTTGAGATACGTTTAGGGGAAAAAACGTCTGTAGGAGACGCTCAACAAGTACATAAAGATATATTGCTCAATGTATTTAAATTGACTAAAATTATTTAGAATCAATTGTGCTGCCTAAGTCATCATTATGAGGGGAGACAAAAAAATTTTAAAAAACCCCAAAAACCTCTGGAATTATCTTTTGGAGGATGAACCCCTACTAGTGCACTCGGAATTTGTTCCTCCAGATCAAATATTTTATCTGGAAGGTCTGAGAAGCTTGCACCCCAGATTGTGGAAGAAGTGTCCCGAGTCGTGGCAAACTGGTGACTGGTTCTTCCACCATGACAATGCACCTGATTGTTCAGTGGCTTTTGACCCCAAAGAGCAGGCCCCTTGCGTCCCACCCTTCCTGTTCGCCCTGTCTCACCCCAAGCAACTTTTTTCTTTGTTTCCCTGGATGAGAGAGTCTTCAGAGGGAAATTAATGTTTTGCTGACATGGAGGAGGTGAAACAAAAAACAGCGGAAGAACTCAAAATCAATGAGTTCAAAAACAGTTTTGAGCAGTGGAAAAAGTGTCTTCATAGGTGTGTTGTATCGGCTGAAGAGTACTTTGATGGTGACTGATGTTTAAATGTGTAAAGTTTAAACACAAAATTTTAAAATAAATAAATTGTGGGGGTTTTGGGGTCCCCCCTCGTATATTGGTAACAGTTGCTTTTTAGCTCAGTTTGAATTTAAGAAGGGATGTTGTGACTTTTTAAAGCCTTGAACTAAGTTCTTTTCTGCACTTGATCAAGTCCCACCTGCCATTTGGATGGTAAAAGTTTTTAGTCCCAGGCCTATGGCATAAGCTCAATCAATCTGCCCAGAAACATGTAGTAAAAACTGTTTTTCCTCTGCTTTTTGTAACAAAATATAAGCATGTCTTATAAGGCCTTTACAATCCATTCCTTTTGGTCGCATCTTGCTACATGCTTTTGTCACTCAAGTATATGTTGTGTGCCAGTTTTTCTGTTTGCTCCCGATAGTTGTAAGGTGAGCAAGACGGGGTTCTAGTTCCAAGGTTCCCCGGGTCCTCTGGTGGAGACGGCAGATGTGCCGGAGACAGGTTAGCTCGGGAGGTGACCGGGCATCCTGGACACAAGGGCAGCTCCTGTTTTCTCCTGACGTCATGCCTGTGCACACAGCAGCTCTGGGGCTGTTTTCAGTGCATGCTGATCTTTACTGTGATTGAGTGCTTTTCTCTAAAAATAAAGGCCAATGCAAAGCTTTTCATTAATTCCTGCACGATATATATTTTTCAGAGCCAGGCTCTTATGCATGAATAAATTACAACGGACGGTCTGCACTGGCTTTCCAACCTTGCCAGAGTACACATTACCGGCATTTTCTGGTCCCACTTGCCTGAGCACTGGTGTGTTTCTGCTTTCAGCTCTCAATGGATACCTCTTTGGAAACTTCCCTGAGCCTGACATGTGTGTTGGTGACTCTGTGTCCTGGCACCTCTTTGGAATGGGGAATGAGATAGACATCCATTCCATCTATTTTTACGGTAACACCTTCATCAGCAGAGGGCATCGGACTGATGTCGTCAACCTGTTCCCAGCCACCTTCCTCACAACAGAAATGATAGTCGAGAATCCTGGGAAGTGGATGATTACCTGTCAGGTCAGCGACCATCTACAAGGTAAAAAGGACAAAGACATCTTAGATGCTCAGAGTGGCGCAGTTAAACCACACGGTCACTGGGCTCATCCAGTGCCTGTTCCTGGGTGGATTCTCATGCGTATTATATTCAGTTAAGTGTTAAATATGATGTAAAATTCCATGTTCATTTACTTGGCATCCTATCAACATATATTTATTAATCACCTCCCTATGAACTAGGTGGGAGCGATTGAAATAGTGATGAAACGTTAGGTGCCTACAATGTAGTATTGGACACAGTTAGATATTCACGACATGAATATAGTCTGAGGCAGACTGACATAAGCGCTCTTTGGGTGTGGTGGTCATACTCTAGAGCAAGCAGAGATGCTTCCTGGGCAATCAGAGGCTCATTCCTAAGATGAACCCTGCCATGTGGGTAGGAGCTAGTACGTGTTCCTGATAGAAGAAGCAGCGTGAATTGGGAAACACATGCTCCCTTGGAGCAACTGTGAGTAGACGAACACATTTTAGCATTGGAAAGCACTTTTGGATAATCAGGACAAATCCTCCATCCAATTATCGAATTCCCTTTTTTTGAATTGGAGTTTTATTCTGCTGCCCAGGCTGGAGAGCAGTGATGGGATCATGGCTCACCACAGCCTCGATCTCCTGGGCTCAGGAGATCCTCCTGCCTCAGCCTTCTGAGTCGCTGAGACTACAAGCACACGCCATTTCACTTTTTTGATTTTTGGTGGAGATGAGGTCTCAGTATGTTGCCCAAATTGGTCTTGATCTCCTGGACTCAAACAATCCTCTCACCTTGACCTCCTGAAGTGCTGGGATTACAGGTGTGAGCCACTGCACCCACCCTTGCCCTTTTGAGCAACTCTTGTAAGTAATTGTGACAGGTCATCTCATCTCTGGGCTGTTCTGTTGGAATGCCTTTTTTTTTGAGTTGGAGTCTCACTCTGTCGCCCAGAATGGAGTGCAGTGGCCGCTCCCGGCCACCGCAGCCTCGCCTGCTGGGCTCCGGTGATCCTTCCGCCTCAGCCTGCCAAGTAGCCGGACTTACAGGCATGCGCTACCACGCCCGGCTGATTTTTTTTTATTTATTGTAGAGATGAGGTCTCGCTGCCCAGGCGGGTCTCGAACCCGCAGTCTCAGGCAATCTACTCACCTCAGCCTCCCAAAGGCACGGGATTACAGGCTGAGCCACCGAGCCCAGCCGCCCTTTTTTTTTATATTGAGACAAAATCCACTGACCTAAAGCTTTCTTTGTGGCTTATGATAGGTTCATGGTAAGCACTTACCGACTTAGATGCCGGTTGAATGATTTGGTCCTGGTTCCTGGGACACCATGGAATGTGTCCTTTCTTAGATGGACAGTAAGGTTCATATTTGCCAGAGGAGCAAAGAGCAAGAAGCCTGGGGAGGCAGAGGGGCCCTGAACTTTGAGTGGCAAGGCTAGGGAGGTGGGGTGGTGCCTGGGAGGGCAGTTGTGATCCTGGGATCCTCGGGCTCACCGGTGACTTAACCAATGCAGTGACTTAGAAACATAAATATGATGTGTGTGTGCAGAGAGGACTGAATGGAGAAATTCTGGCACTGGGCGCCATTAAGGAGCTTTGGCAACAACAGAGTTACGGAGCACACAAAGGGTCAGCCTAAGATGGTGAAAACAACAGGGAAAAAAGGTGTCCGTGGGATAGACACAGAAGAAACAATGTCTGATTAAATTTGGACACTCTATTTGGAAGGCTGAGGCGGAAGGATTGCCTGAGCCCAGCAGGTCGAGGTTGCAGTGGCTGTGGATATGACACGGCACTCAAGCCTGGGCAACGGAGTGAGATTCCAACTCAAAAGACAACAACAACAACAAAAAATTTGGATATTGACTAACTACACACAGTCACTAGTTGGTACAGAGGACCAGCTGTTCAGGGCTACTTTGATAACACCTTCTTGTTCCCGTCCACTGTAAGCAACAAGTTTCAGCATAGCCAGCTGAATTACTTCAATTAAATTCATCTCAAGAGTTGATCAGTTAATTTGTACTGGGTACTCCTCTGGGAAGACAAAGATGACCACGGCAAGGCTCCTAGTCTCAGAGGGCCTCATGCTATGAAATCTGGGAGGAAGCTGCAGGTTTAAAATCCAGACATTAGCAGCTATTTGAGACTAGTGAGACTGCTAATTTGGCCTGCAGTTGTGGCCAGATGTAGCACTGAAAGGCAATATTCACTGAAACAGTATTTCCTAAACTGTACATGTTCTCAGAAAAAATAATGTAAAAAACTTAGAAAATACATATAACTTTATTTTTTAAATCTCGAGTCCCGTATAGAGACACTGGCATTACATTTTGATGAATATCGTCCCTCAATATTTTCTGTACCTTAATGTGTACATGTACATGCCATTTATACAACGAAAACAGTCAATTAACACTGCCCGATAACTACTTTCTCCAGTTATTAACGTTTTAGGAGTATATGTTCATGTCAGTGTACATAAAGCTGTTTCCTCACTGTTCATGCTTCCACTGCCCACCATAAGGGCTTCACACCTTACTGAACCAACATTCTGTTGCTTAAACTTAGATTTTCCCCCATTTTTTGCTATCATACACGGTAACCGTTATTTACAGGTATGTCTGTATTTTCTCCTGAATACTCCTAGCTTTGGGAAAACGCCTAACTTTGGAATTCTTGGATTCAGAGCATGATCTCTTCTTTAAGCTGTGGATACATATTGCCAAATCCTCTTTTAGGAATTGTTACTCTTCCGCCCCTCCCCCAATTCCTCTGCCAACGCTGAGAATTACTAGTCTTTCTAGTCCTTACCAATCTGATCAATGAACAACAGTGCCATCTGATTATGATTAAGGTTGAGTTTCTTTTCATTTGTTTTTTGGACAATCTTATCTCTTTTGTGAATAAACTATTTCTGTCCGGTGCCCATTTGCTATTGGAGATCTACTTTTTTCTTCCTAATTTGTAAAAGTGATCTGCACATTAATCTTTTGTCATATTTATTGCAAATATCCCTCAGCCCCACCATTTATCCTTTGTTTTTAACTTTGTTCATGATCCAGTTTTCTGTACAGAAGCTTCAAATGTCCATGAAGTCAAATCTATCGGTCTTTCCTGAACGATTTATTTTTGTGAGCATTTATACTCTGGCTTGTGGTTTTCGTCTGTTCTGCAGCTGGTATGCTGGGGCAGTACAATGTTGACAGCTGCAAAGGTGATGTTTTTCACCCCAAGATGAATGGTCAACAGAGGCGCTACTTTATAGCAGCCGAAAAAGTTCTCTGGGATTATGGTCCTCAAGGCTACAACAAATTCAGCGGTCTTGCCCTAAATGCCTCTGGCAGGTAAGTGCTCCCTGCTGGTGTTCTTAAGCCTTCCGTCAGTCAGAGAGGCATGTGGGGGAACACCAATCCAGGGCCTCCCTGTGAACTCGTTTGCATTCCAGGTATGCTCTGATGAGTGTGTCCTGCAGAGAGGGCATGCGTCACTGCTCAGGGCGCGCTTAATGCTGTATCCTACTGCTGAGAGGTGGTAGAGCACTCGCTGTTTTGTGGCTTGTTGGCTGAGTCAAAACACCAGATCCAGCCACTCATCAGGCATTTCTTGAGTACGTACCATGTGTAAACAACAGTGCTGCATGCCATACTAAGCTGACAGGGAGCAGACTAAGACCTCAGCACATATGCGGTGGGCAGTCTTGAAGAGGGAATAAGACAGGAGCCTCTTTCAGTGGACACGAGCTGGCCAAGGAAAGTCACCTTTTCTGGTCTGAGGCCAGCCTGGTGTAAGCCCTATCTACGTACTGCAAATGCTCTTTCCCTCACGTCGCCTCTTAAGTGGAGCATCCCCTGACTTGAGTCATAATTCATCGTTTTCTCTCTGGGCTCCCATAACAAACAGCATTTTTCAACTGAATCTAGCAATTCTGTGATTTGCCATAGAATCATATGCAATGATGTCTGTGAAATCACACACAAAAAAATGTGATGTCAAGAATAATGGCTATTACCCTCTGATCCTTTTTATATTTGAAGGAAGGTTAACATTTTTCTTTGTGCTCAATGATATGACACCGTTTGCTTCTTTAAGTATAGATTTCACTTATTCACTATTTTATTCATTCATACATTCACTCATTCTTTCACCAACCTGATGTACGTGAATCTTGCCTAAAGAATTTGCATGAACCATCCATGGAAAACTCTCTGATACCAACACTCTCCATGGACCGACATTCTCCATAAACAGAATGATGAGAATTAGCATTTAAAATGATGTCTTAGAGGCCTTTTAGAATTCTGAAGTGCCTTCTCAAACATGAAAGACGAAACTGCATCCAATCCATACTGAATGTGACATACGGAAACACCATGCACAAGGTGATGTGCGGGATGCCAGGATGTCTAAGACAGCGTTCCCACCTTCAGGCCGTGAGAGTAGCTGCACGCACGGTGGAAGAAGGACTACTCTGCAAGTGACGAGTAGCAGCGCAATGGGTCCTTCACGCAGCAAGTCTTCTGGGTGTTCAGAGCGCTGAGACAGCAGGGATGCGCCACAGAGGAAGTGGGACTTCAGCAGGGTCTCGAGGAGCGGCAGAGTTTATGAGCAAAAGGCGGAGAGGGACATTCCACACGTGGGGCTTGATGCAAAGCACCTGCTGGGGAGGGGAGAGTGGGGCGATGAGGATGGTGGGAGTGGAGGCTGTGCTGCGGAATGGGGATCCGCATAGAGCAGCCGGGAGAGCTGGGGCTGGACGCCCACTGCAGAAGCCCTTGGTTCCCGTTGGACTTGGTCTGACTGCCAGCTGGAAGCCAGTGGAGAGTTTGGAGCAGGCAAACGAATGAAAACACGAGTTTGGAGACTAGAGATGCGAAAAGGATGTGGGGAGTCAGCCTGAGACCGGGGACGCAGAGTGTGCGGTCAGAAGGTTCATGCAGCACCCGGACCCAGGCCTGTGACAGGAGAGGAAAGGAAGGGAAAAGACACACCCCAGGCCCAGAAAGGGAAGGGTGCAGAGCCACTTGCAAGAGAGGAGGGACAAGATGAGGGCACGAGGAAGAGAAAGAAGACGGTCGACGTGGCTGTAAGGGAGACGGTACCACTGACGGAAACACAAGTCAGAACTTATGTCATTGCATTCACAACTTGGAAAGCTGGCATTTCGTGTCTATGGTTTACATGATAACTCTCTGCTAATGAAACAATTTGATTAGCTAGACACCCCATTCCTTACCATGCCAGATAGCAAAGAGCTTACTATTCACATTGGCATCAGCAGGAGATAGAGGGATGCATATTCTGCAGAGAAACCAGTTAGCTCTTTGCTACTTTGCAGGATGCCATTCCAGAACTCCAGTGCTGGTAAGTGAGGCTCTCACCTGTGCCTTCTTCAGTTGCTGGACCTCAGGGGAAGAAAGTACAGTGGTTAAGAGAGAATGAGCTTGAGTATCATCCCACCTCAGAGATTTTGAAGGCTGGCAGACTATCCCCGGGAACTTTGTTGCAACTATGCTGCCTTTTCTAGGGAGATGGGTGGGTGAGCGGGCTGAAGATGATAAAACAAGGCTCCACAGCGAAGGTGTTCACTGGCTATGTTGTGATGTGTTCTCAGTCAGATTCCTGTGTCTTTTCAGTGATTCAGAGCTCTACTTCACACAAGGGGACAGCAGGATAGGAGGAAAATACTGGAAAGCTCGGTACACTGAATTTGTTGATGCAACTTTCACTCAGAGAAAGAGACTTTCTGCTGCAGAAGTCCATCTTGGAATTCTTGGTATAGTAAAGCCATCCTTCGAGGTTTCAGCCCGGGGAGATGCTCGTGCCGGGCATAGACATTCCCTAGAATGGCTCTTCCCCTACACGGCTTCACTGTTTTTGTCTCTTTCAATGTCCTCCCTCCTCCTCTCGATGTGTTCCAGGCCCGGTCATCAAGGCAGAGGTGGGTGATACCCTGTTAGTGACCTTTGCCAACAAGGCTGACAAGGTCTACAGCATTTTGCCGCACGGTGTGATCTATGACAAGGCGTCTGATGCGGCCCCAAACACAGACGGTGAGTCTCAGCCTGGGCTCAGGGAAGAAGCAGGACGAATGAGGGAAACGCTTAGAGCTAAACGAACCTGGTTCAAACCTGGCCAGTTCTGAGAGCTTGGTCAATTATTTAAACTTTCTGAACCTTATTCTATGACACTCACCTCACAGGGCTTTGGAAAGGGATGGAGAAAGTTTAGAACAGGGTCCCGCCTAGGGTAGGTTCTCAGGAAATGTCCGTTTCTTTCTTTCCTTTTCTTTCAAGAATGTAGTGAGTCTCAAGATGAAGTACGTTCATCATTTCCTCTGCTCTCAGATGGGGAGCTTTGCTGCTGCAGGTTGCGTGGAATTCCGTGGGTGAAGGCTGAGGCAGGCATCTGGCTTCCGGTGTTTCTTTGACATCCAAATCTTGCACATGGTCTTTGCTCTGACTCTAGCAACAAATGCTTAAAACCAGCATCAAGTGCTTGCCGTTCTATGTGGCCTCTCCTCAGCAGAGTTTGTAGTACAGGGTCTCTGCGTGGGGAGGGCAGTCGTTGCCAGCGGCTGCATTAGCTATGATGCCTTCCAGTCATGGCGGTGCCCTGGGGAAGTTGGGTCCCGGTTACTCATCTTCCTCTCTGAATGGGCATCACGGCTGCCAGGGGTGCTTCTGCACACTGGGGTGTGAGGCCAGGCTCAGCGGAGAACAGACTTTGTGGTGATGGTGAGGGGACAGAGGAGAAGAGAATGAAGGGAGGATGCCCCCCCGACCCATCCTCACCCTCTCCTGCTGCAGTAGCAATTCCTATATATGTGCGTTCCTCCTCGTCAGAGTGCTCAGAATGACTGTGTGTGTGTGTGTGTGTGTGTGTATGTGTGTTTCATGTGTGCAGAACACTGGGAACAGACACACTGCTTATATTTACTTCTTTTTAAACCCAGCAAGCAAACTGGGTACCTTTTGGCAAAGCGCTGGACAAGATGCAGTGAGTCTCTGGCTTCATCTCGTAGGGTAGATTAAATGTGTCTTTTGGCAACACGATGTGAGGGTTCAATGCACACTCTTTGGAGTCAGACTGAGCCAAGTTTGAATCTCGCATTTGCCATTGATCAGCTTTGTAACCTTGGGCATTCGTTTACCTCCTCTGTCTTGTAGCCACTTGCGTTATTTCCTAGGTCAATCTCCTAGATTTCAAACTCTTTAAAAATGGGGTTCTCACTGAACTCTTGAGTATCTTCTGCAGGGACAAGTAGAATATATTCCACATAGAAGGCATTCCAGTGATATTTCATGGATTTTCATTTAATTGTTAAATGGGCCACTACTACTCGTTTAATATTCGTTAAGCCTGGTTTTTGAGTAAGAATTGTGTGTAGTCTATGAAGAAGATAATCCTTTGACTTAAAGTTCTGTCTCACAAAACACCAAACTGTGGCAGTGTCCTGCCCAGTAGAGGACATACAAGAATTGACAATTAAGTTCATCAACTCAACCTTTAAAAAGTGCTCCATACCTCATTGCTGAATATTGCTGCGGTTGCCTTTGAAGTGCTCCCTTTGGGAAGCTGTGCACTGACGACAGCACCTAGACCATCTGTCAAAGCAGTTTTGGAACTCTTTTTCTGGAATGGCCATCAGAGCTGTCATCATATGTTCTGAATGTCATCAAAATGTCTGTCTTGCAATATTTCCTTTATCATTGGGTAAATAAAAAAGTCTTGGGGGCCAGATCAGGTGAGTAGGGAGGGTGTTCTAATACAGTTATTTGTTTACAGGCTAAAAACTCCTCACAGACGGTGCTGTGTGAGATGGTGCATTGTCGTGATGCAAGAGTTCCCTCTGGGCAATTTTTGTACACACCTTTCTCATGCCAAGATCTTCAGTTAAGATTTTCCTGTTTTTTTGTTTGTTTGTTTTTGAGTTGGAGTCTCACTCTGTCACCCAGACTGGAGTGCAGTGGCTGCTCCTGGCCACTGCAGCCTTGACCTGCTGGGCTCCAGCGATCCTTCTGCCTCAGCCTTCTGAGTAGCTGAAACTACAGGTGGGCACTACCACGCCCGGCTAATTTTTTTTATTTATTGTAGAGATGAGGTCTCGCCAAGTTGCCTAGGCAGGTCTCGAACCCGCGGGCGCAGGCAATCCACTCACTTCAACCTCCCAAGGCACGGGATTACAGGCTGAGCCACCGAGCCCGGCTTTCCTGTTTCTCTATTGGTGTTTATTTGATCTACTATGCTTCTCACAGTCTGCCAATGATCTGACGCACAATTTAATGAATTTTTGCAATGTTTTTGTCAGTTCTGCTCATTACTGGCTGTCCTGACCTCTCTCCATCAGTGACGCTTTCTGTCTCCTCAGCAAAACGTTTAATCCATTTGTACACTGCTATTTCCTTCATGACATTATCCCAATAAGCTTGGACTAACATGTCCCTGATTTCACTTCCACTCTTGCCACGTCTAACAAGAAGTTTAGTGTTTGTTCATGGCCCTAATTCAAACTCTGACATTCTCGTGATGGCAGCTCTGACAGCCATTCCAGAAAGAGTTCCAAAATTGCTTTGACAGGTGGACTAGGTGCTGGCATCAGTGCATAGCTTCCCCAGGGGAGTACTTCAAAGGTGACTATAGTGGCACTCGGCAGTGAGATATGGAGCACTTTTTCTAGGATGAGTTTGTGAACTTAATTGTCAGACCCCATGAGAGAAAACAACTGTTCTTGTGTAGAATTCGTCATCATTGGAGAAAGAAACCCTGGACTGAAAGACTCAGTCTGACAAATTTCATATTCTTGGCTGTTGCCTTGAGTGATTGTTTTGTTTATATTCTCAGGATTCGTGAAACCAGGGGCACATGTTAAGCCAGGCGAAACCTTCACATACAGGTGGACAGTGCCCGAGAGTGTAAGCCCGACTGACGGTGACCCTCCCTGTCTGACCTATCTTTACTTCTCAGCAGTTGACCCAATCAAGGACACCAGCTCTGGCCTTGTGGGGCCTTTGCTGGTCTGTAAAAAGGGCGTTCTCAATGCTGATGGGACACAGGTAGGCCATCAGATGTCACTAGTTCTCCTCAGGGTGGTATATGGGAGAGATTGGTAATATGGCTACAGATTAGATGAGATTGGGCATGTTCAGGGTGGTATGGCTGCAGACCTGGCTAGAGATTAGGCAGTGATAAATCGTTACAATAAATGATTTCTCCTCTTTCCTCTTGCAATGGACTTCTATAAAGTGGAGGTTTTATTTTATTGTTTGTAAAAATTTAAGATCTGCATTTCCAGTTACAAATGCCCACCCAAGAACATGGGATTTATGCTTGCAATGGTGGGGATTTGGTGGGCCTCTTTTCCTGTGCATTGCTCTGATTCTGGAACCTTAGAGACCCACATGGATGCTACCTGGAATTATTCTTCTTGGACAAGGTTTCTCAACCTTGGTCACCATCAGAGTCACTTGGGGACCTTTTCAACATCTTTTATTCTGACACTCCATCCAGACCAATTAAATCAGAATCTCCAGGTGATTCCAATGTGCAGTCAAGGCTGAGAACCAATGTAACTTGCTACTGTAAACTGGAAGTTAATCCCTATGGCTGAAAGAACAAGAAAGCTTGTAGATAACGTCCTGCAGGTTCCTAGACAGAGCCCTGCATGGTTGCACTGACTAGTGCAGCAAAGCAGAGCATTCCAGGCTATGTCTACATGATAGCACGCACACTAATGGAGAGAGGAAAATTCAGTCACTCAGCCATTTATTTCACCAATCAGAAATTGCAAAGCAATTTCTTTAAGTAGCATATTTTATCATTTTTGGTAACATATGGGCCCACTTCTGGGCTTAAAAGAATTTCTGGGCTTGGAGGATACAAAATATCCTGGTCTGCTTTGGATTTTTAGTTCCCTACATGAAGGACCAACCCTAGAAATGTCTGTTGCATGTGCATAAGACTGAATATTCACACTATATCTCAACAATCACACAAAGCAAAGCAGAATGATTGTCCACCTTGCAAAGCTGAAGAAGCAGAGACTCAGAGACACAGAAATTCCCAGTCATACACCTAGTGAATAGTGAAGGTCAACAGTGAAGCATAGAACTTTGAGCATCCAACTTTGTTCTTTTTCCAACATACTGCCTTGCTTCCTGTCACTCAATACCTAAAACAGGGAGATTAATTGCCAAAACTAGTTTGAAAGGTAGTTCTGATTTTTGCCCCTGTTGTGTCTATTTGGTGGTAACTTTGAGACTTGCTGGAAGCCCCCTATAGTCTGCGGGACTTGTTGCCCAAGTCAAAGTCTGCGTGCACAGAATTCACAAGAGAAAAAAAAGCAGCTGGAAACCCCCATGCCTGGAATTTGGCTGACAGAGAAATCCTTTTGGCCAGATGGAAAATGATGTTCAATGTAAGAAATACGTATGAAACACCTACTATGTGCCAGGCCCTCTAGAGGTCAGGCCTTTTCAGGCAGATGGAGAGATGAACTGGGAAAGAGGTGCTTGCGTCTCTTTCCGGTAAATTGTTGCAAATGCTCTCCATGGTGAGTGGCCAGGTGACATAAGGCTGGTTCCTAACACGTGGCCTTCCACAGTAACCACCCAGCCAAACTCCATACTTTCACGCCTTCATCTCTCCCTCTCTCTCTGTCTCCTTCTTTCTTCTCTCTGTCTCCTTCTTTCTTCTCTCTCCCTCACCTATGTCCATCTCACACATTTTGAAATAACTTGACTTTCGAAAACATTGCAGAAAACTGCCAAGAATCCTCATACACCCTCAACCAGACTCCCTCGATACAAACATTTTATCTGATTTGCCTTAGTATTCTCTCTGTTTTTCTGGTTTCCACCCCCCGCCCCGACTTGTTGGAGCGGAGGTCGCAGACATGACGTCTCTTCAGTGGGTGTTTCCTGAAAACAAGGACACTCTCTGACACACATTTATCCAAGTCAGTAAATTAATCTGATATTATCAAATCTACATACACTTTAAAATGGTATTAACTGTCTTGTGTCTTCCTGGTCCAGGCTCGGACCAGGGCCAGGCATGGCACGGAGCTCTCTCCTGTTTCTGGCCCCTCTTTCCCCATGACTGGCTTTCATCACAGGACACCACCGCGATTTTCCTAAAGGACAGAAAAGAGCAAGGCACGTCCCTGGTCAGCAGCTCTGGTAGTTTCCCATCACCCTTAGAGTAGAGCCCCACAGGGTGGATCTTGGCTTGGGCCCGACCTGCCGCTGTCCCTTGATATCACTCGCCGTGCGCCTCATGGCCCCTGTGCTCCATCCACACCCGCCTTTCTGTCTCTCTCCCAGGCCAAACTTGCCTCTGACTGGGGTCCTCAGTGCTAGGCTCCCTCTGCCTGGAATGTGTTCCTCTGACCTTTGCACGGCTGGCGCGTCCTGTCAGCTCCTCAGAGAAGCCTTCCCTGGTCTCCAGGCTAGAGTCACTCTCTACTGTGTCACCTGATTTTACTGTCACTTGCTACCATATTTTGTTTATTTGCTTTTGGGTATAGTGTGTTTCCTCCTGTATGGATGTGAGTACTTTGGAGCAGGGACTTTGTCTGTCTTATCTTCCTTTCCTAGATCAATGCCTGGCACAGTGCTGACACTTAACAATCATTTTTGGTTGAACAAGTGAAATGCAGGGTCAGCACTCTTATCCCGAAAATTAAGAAGTTCAGTTAACAGAAAACGCCACATCACACACATCTTAAACGTTGCGGGGCCTGCAAATAGACACTGAGAATTGCAGGACAACCTCATTTGCAAAACTAATTTTCCTTATCCACATTTCAACACTCAGAGTTGTGTGATGGTTTATGGGTCACACTGTCTAGCTTTCCTGATGCTGTGGAGGCCTAGACTATACTAATCTAGGTGCTCTTTACAAAACAGTTTTGGGCTGCAGACACCAGCACTACTCAGATGCCATACACACACACACACACACACACACACACACACACATATATAGATATATATATATAGAGAGAGAGAGAGACAGAGAGAGAGAGAGAGACAGAGAGACAGAGAGAGACAGAGACAGAGAGACACTGACTTGTTATAGGAATGAGGTCATGCAATTATGGACTGACCAGTGTGAAATCTGGTGAGTCAGCAAACCGAGCACCCCAGTGAGCTGATAGCGTAGCTCCAGCCTGAAAGTTGAAAAGTCTGAGAACCAGGAAGAGCCGACATTTCAGTTCAAGGATGAAGAAAGAAAGACGCCGATGCCCTGGTTCCAGGCAGCCGAGCAGGAGGAGCGCCCTCTTCCTCGGAGGAGAGTCAGCCTTTTGGCGCTGTTTGGTCTTTCACCTGACTGCAAGAGGTTTGCTCATGTCAAGAAATACCACAAGCTTTATTCAGGCTGCTGGTTCGGTAGTTCATCTCATTCAAACACGTCCTTACAGAAACACCCAGAACCACGTCTGAACAAATATCTGGGACCCCGTGACCCAGTGAAGTCACACACAAGCTCACAATCACACAGGGTTCCGTCACCTTCCTCCTCGTGGTTTCTCGGGCTGGCTTCCCACTGTCACAGATCCGGTGACCCCCAACGCATCTCAAGGGTTGAGGGCCTTCGGGCCAACTCCGTCCAACGGCTCGTCTTCGTGCCGGGGACAGTTGCGGAGCTGAAGACGACAGCGTCAAGGACTTGGTGTCGGTTGGGCGTGGTTCTGAGTGCTGTGGCCATGTCACCTCATGTAACCTTCACAAAAACACAATGCAGGGACAGTACCATCCACACTGTGCAAGTGAGGACATTGGGGCTTAGAGAGGATGACTTGCTTGCCCCAGGCCTCACAGCAAACACGCAGAAGGACGGCATTAGCACCTGGGTCTCCCTGCGCACGTAGCCCGTGGGCTTTTAAGATACGTTTTGCCTCTCCATTCCCCCCTTTTTGTATTTTGTAAACGTTTCAGGCATGCGTTGCTTCTTTCCGTAGTCCGTGGTCTTAAGCCGCTGCCTTCTAAAGTGTCTTGTGGCCAAAGCGAAGACCACACACGGGGTACAGCTGGAGCAGAAAGCAAGGAGCGTCCAGTTGTCAGGGGGTTAAGAAGGCGCCATGGAGGTGGGCAGATGCACGGAGCCATGGCTGGCCCACGTGGTCTGTAGAGCAAAGGGAGGCGGACTCAGCGCCGAGGGAGGACGTGCTCGGAGGGCAGAGGGCTGTGGAGCCCCGAGGTGCAGGGGACGTCAGGGAGCACGGCTGAAGTGCCGGGACGGACGGGTCCAGAGATGAGGTGGGGCGGGTGGGCAGGGCCAAGTGGCCGGAGTCGAGCGTGCACTGTCCAGCTTAAAGAGAGGTACGGTCAGACGGACCATGGAGGGTCTCTCGGGGGCAGGCTGCAGGATGGTGGTGGCTTGGGCGGGGAGCAGGAAGATGCAAAGGCTAGAAAACGCGGCCTCTCCCTGGGCCAGTCCTAAAGTAGAGCCACCCCTGGCGCTGTGTGGTCGGATCGGCTCAAGCAGACACATGAGGAGCACCTGCGAGTGGAGCGGGTCCCCTTTCTCCTCAAAGACAGCTCTGGTTGACGTGAGGTAGTCAACTCCTATCAGTTACATGAGTTTATCTTTTCACTCACACACGTGTATCGAGTGCCTTCTTCTCCAGGCATTTTTCTGGGGATACAGAAAGGAACCCAAAATGTCTCTACCCTCATGAAGCCTCCACTGAGGTGGAAAAAACAGTTAAAAATAAGTTCATCGATAAAATGTAATGTCAGGTGGGTATAAATGCTGTGAAGAATAATAAAGTAAGATAAAGTGAGGGGAGAGTTTGTGGGTGGGTGATGGTGACTATCTCAGTGGTCAGGAAAGACCACTCTGAGGCGGAGACATCTGTGCAGAGAGCTGAGTGGAGTCGGGGACCAGGCAAGCCCTGGGGGTCAACACACGAAAGGCTCCCGGGGCAGGAGCGAGGCTGGTGTCTTGGCAGCAAAAGGCCAGGGCGGCTGGAGCCAGGAGGTGCACATGAGGGGACCAGTCAGAGAGAGAGGGGCTGGGCAGGGCAAGGAGGCCACGGCAAGCAGAAGGGCCGGCGAGGGCAGCCGACCACAGGAGCGCCACAGAGGTGAGAGCCTTCTGGGAGGGTCTGGCTTCCTGGAGGAAAGGAGAAGCACAGGTCAGAAGAAAGGATAGAACGAGAAAGACACATTTTTTGGGTGTGGCGTAAATCCATCAGAGCCACATTCAGTGTTGTGATTTGCAAAGGGCCGGGTCCAGTCATAACTGATGCCTCCCAGCCCTGATCCGCTCAGTGTGAACGTTGAAAGTGAAGCAGCTCTGAGAATTCCCCTCTGCTACACTTTTTATGCACACTTTTGTCGTTGCTGTTGTCTATCTGCAGAAGGGAATAGACAAGGAATTTTACCTACTGTTCACAGTCTTTGACGAGAATCTGAGCAGGTATCTCGACGAAAACATTCAAAAGTTTACCTGGCGTCCCTTCAGCGTTCAAAAAGAAGACAAAGAGTTTGTGAAATCCAACCGGATGCATGGTATGACACCCACCTTTCTCTCCTGTGAATGAAAGCCTTGATTGCCCTGGAAGCGAAAATGGTAGAATGTTTTAGTGATCCTAATTTTGGTTTCTTGGCTGTTGTTTGTGGTCACGAGTAAGTTATTTCATGCCTTCAGCTTCACCAGGTATGGTAAAGCCTCCCTATCTCCCAGACAGGTTGTGAGATGTAATTCTTCTAAAACAATTTATCAGCCTTAGTTGAAGCAGCACAAAATCTAAACTAGCAAAGACCACAGTGCATCACAAGTGTAGAAAATTACAAAACGCCCCCTTGGGTTCACAATAACGTCATTTAGCCTGATAACCAAGGTGATAATAAGATAAACGCTTTACACAGCAAAGCATTCTGATAAAGTGACACGAGTGACTGCTGAAAGCCTCCATTTGCAAACCGCTAGCTGTTCCTATCCCAGATCTTCGTTTGGGAGGAATGACTTAATTGTCCCTCCTGCTCTCTCTGTGTATCAAGGGTTGTCATAGCAAGCCACCTGCTAATGGCTCATGAGTTACACAGCATGCTCCTCAGTCTTGGGCACTTTGCCTAATGTGGCAGAAGAACGAGTGTTCAGCTCAATGTCTGCGGGAGTGTGCAGTCAGCAAAAGTGCCTGACACAAGTAGTGTGGGATAACCGGAGTAGCATTCTTGCTTTAAGGCCGAGCGAGTACCTATGTATTACTTTTGTGGAAGACGAACAAAACAGCCCCCAGCCTTCCTCCCTACCATGGAAGTCCAAAGAGGCCCAAGGCCATACGTTCCCCACAGCAACCAGCTCACAGACCCGCGGGTCCCAGATGCCCATGTGCGACAGTCTCCCGCAGGGCCGGTGGAAAGCTGGGGGCAGGGCGCTTTCAGCTTACCTTCTACCGAAAGCTTTGCCATGGCTGAAGACAAAATTTGATTCTGAACTTCTTAGTAGACAATAAAAAAGGGAAGCTAAGCTAGACATGAGGAAATATAGCAGTTCCTTAGTGGAGAAGATGAATTGCAAAACACACTTATTGTCAGAGAGGCCTTTTCACGGAAAACAGTCAACAACTGAATGAACCATGCCAAACCCAGCCCCAACCTGGTTTGTCAAAGGGAAATTCATTTCTCTATGTTAGACTTGTAGGATGTTTCATCTTTAAAGCAGAGTTCAAGGAAAGATAATGCATCTTAATGCAAATTGCACATTAGTTATAAATTAAGTTATAAGTTTGGTTTTCATGGGGAGGTTGGGGGGAAGAAAGCAGCAAAGTCAAAGAGAAAGGGCCTTACACGTGCCCGACTTTTGTGTTGTGTGTGTTAGATAAGCTGCATTTGAAAGGTATTTGGTAAATAAATGGATGTGTGCTCTAGACAAAGAGGTTTTAAACACAATTTCCAGGGCAGGAAAAGATTCTCTACCAACCAGCCAAGGACTAAATTTATCAACACCTTGATCTACTCTCATACCTCTTGAACATTCTGTAGATGAAATTTAGATCATTTATTTACAAAAGCGTTGTTAAGGTTCCCCCCCTAGAAACTGTGGGGTCTTCCTAGGTCTTCTTGGAATTGCTAGTAATAACCCCAGACTTGAATACTTACCAGGCACCCCTGGTCTGCAGACATGGACATAAAAAGTGATGTTATTTGACAATAGAATTATAACAGGATGTCATTCATATGTCTGCTCGTTGTTCCTTCCTACTGTGGGCACTGGTGGAGAGTAGGAGGGGACAGAATGCTGGTCTCCCTTAGGGACATCGAGCATGGACCTCACTATGTGCCTGCACCCGTCAGACACTCCTGCTCCCTCGTGGCATCTGCTCTCAAGGGTGGGAATCTGGATTCTCGATTCTCCTCAAGACACTGCTTCAGACAGCCATGACCACTGAATTGGGGCTGGTGTGAAAGATAAAAGCAATACGTCACTCCAGAAGCACTGAAAGTCTACATAGCTAAGTCATCGTTATTTAAAATTCCTTCAGTTATTTTGTTGGAGTATGGAAGTAAAAGTTATCATAAGGTAACTGCATTTACTCAAAGACTAACCTCTTGGGAACTCAGAGCTCCCTTCCTCGCCAAAATTCCTCTCCACTGACTAGGCATACTAATACAGTGTCAACTGAGTGGCAGTCTTTCAAATGAGGCAGAACTCATGACATCCGTAAAAGGATGCCTGATAACTTCTAGAATCACATGCAAAGCTGCTGCTGACTGAGGAAGAGACATTTAGCAAGGGAGATGACAGGGTAAGAACCTCAAAAGAAAAAAGTTTTTCATATTAGGAGTTTTAGAGAAGAGTATGGGGAAATTGATCAAGTCAATAAGATGTTTACAAAAATCGTGTTCTTTGTGATCTACAAGTCAAACGTAAAACTGAGGGCTATTGAATTGTGCCATGAAACAATGGTGTCAGAAACCTGATTTATTTTTGATTCTCAGTGTCCTTGCATATGTGTCATTAAACACAGCATTTATATAATTTATTATATTTTAATTACTCGTTGCTAATTTTGGTCTCCATTTTAAGTTGGTTTCGTGTGGTTTTTCCTCAGTGCTAATTATTCTCTGACAGCAAGGATTGTCTGTATTTGCACACCTGATCCACCCTGCCCAGATACACTGATAATTTTCCACTAAGATGGTGTGTTTTCAGCAGGTTTACATCACTACCAAGGGCTCTGACTCTTGTTTTCCTTCCCTTTAGCTGTTAATGGCTACATGTATGGCAACCAGCCGGGCCTAACCATGTGCCAAAAGGACAGAGTTTCCTGGCATTTGCTTGGAATGGGCACTGACACCGACATGCACGGAATTTTCTTTCAAGGGAACACCATCCACCTGCGAGGCACTCACCGAGACTCCCTGGCCTTGTTTCCCCACGTGTCAACAACAGCGTTCATGCAGCCGGACCATGCAGGTAAACTTGGCGGGTCCTTCTCGGGTGACGAGATTTCTTCCTTGAGGCTCCTCATCTCGGGTGCTCCCCCAGGAGAAACTGGCAGACTTTGGGCACTTCAGCGGGTGTAGAAACAGATGTAGTCTGGGGGCCAGGCACGGCGGCTCACACCTGTCATCCCAGTACTTTGGGAGACTGGGGCAGGAGGATTGCTTGAAGCCAGGAGTTCGAGACCAGACATAGTCCTGATTAGAACAGAGAATCCTGCCTACAATAGTTAGAGCATATGGTGTAAGGGTAGAGGAGAAAGAGCTAAACTAGCATCCACAAAGCAGATGTGCTCTAAGTCACTTTGCCACACAGATCTGAGGAGAGTGCTCTTGGCTTGCAACCCATGGCACGTTCAGCCTCGATCAAGAGGACAGCGTGCTCATGGAGCACGAGCATCACTTCAGTTGCTGCCCTGAAGCATCCACCAGGCTGGGCATCGCAGTGGGTGCTTTCAGATTATGGATGCCACCATGGTGGCAGCCTGGTCTCCCCTCTCCAGGGACGGGTAGTAGCCTCTTGATGAGTTTGTGAGAGACTTCCCTATTTCTGTTCTATTGGGTATCGCTGGTTTCCCGGCAGATCGAGCTTCAGTGGGTCTGGGGCCTGTGGAGTTCCTCGTAAATACCAGTACCTGGAACTTCTCCTCTTAGAGTTTCCAAACTTCTTAGATAATTGGAGTATTTTAATAAAAGACAGGCAGCAAAGTATGGCAGCGTATGCTAACTGCTGCATGAAAAGTGAAGAGAGCAAATGCTATGGGCACTCAACATGTTTTTTTCAACCTGATTTTTTTCATCAGCCTTACTAAGAAATAAATATGCTGTCTAAGATGAGCACTTGCCATGTATTCATGGACGTTCTACTTGTTTGCTTCCCACTAAAACGGCAGTTCAGATGCCTCTGTGTCATCAGTTAAGGACTTGAGACTCGGGTTTCAAAACTTTTGCCCAAGGACTGTCTGAGATGAGGCGCTCCAGAATCTATGCCTTGTAAATGTGTCAGCTTTTCCTAGTGTTCAAGCTCTCTATATTAGTATAGTTGATCTAATGTGAGTCACCCAAACCAAGGGATGTCTTGGATGTAATGTGGTGTGCGTTTTTTAAAAAATACACTCTGGGCAACCCCCTCAGGTCCCTTCCCACTGTGGGAGCTTTTCTGTCCTCTCAATAAATCCTGCTTTCTCAATAAATAAATAAATAAATAAATAAATAAACAAATACACTCTTCAGACCAAAGAGGGAAAGGGATTTGGAAACAACCACATTGCTCTAACCCATAGAAACAGGCACTGAAAGTTAGAGCTAGCAGGAATGATTTAGAAATCCGGCTACTTACTCCAATGTCCCCATCATTACTCCAGCCTGTGTCCCACAGGCTTCCAAAGAGCCTCATAATAATGTTTTCCTGTTTACGTTTGGTGATGAGCATAGATCTGGGACTGCGCAAAAGCTTGATCATTCCACCAGTTTTTGTTCTCTACCTCCAAGCCAAGAAGGGTGCTCAGAAGTCAGTAGAAGAGGCTGTAGGCTGCAGCTCAAACATTTCCTCTTGCTTTTTAGTGGATATCATTTCTCGACTACCAAAGAGCCACGATCAGCACATACACAATGGACCATCTGCAAAAAGCAAATGCAGAGGGCGGTCCTTCAGTCTGTCTCCAAAAGATCTTCTCTGTGGTTTAACAAAGACTCTTCATTATGAGGGTCCTTGTCAGTGCCTGGGATGTTTGGGTACCCATAGAATCAACAGTTTTTGACCATCTAGAAAGAGTTACTTGGCAGCATTTAGACCACAGGTTGCATGTGGAGCATCTTGGAAGCCATGTCTGTGCAGTGTAGAGGCCAGTGGGAGGCGCACTAATCACTCACTCGAAGAACAGAGTCTACCAGAGTAAGACCGAATAATTCCTTCGTGAGTTAGTACCTGCAACACTTTCATTTGTTTTCTATGATTCTATGGTGAATTCAATTAGGATACATCTACCTGATGCCAACACATTTAGAAAATTCAGTTCAGAAAATCACACAATTTTCTTTTTTCATAAACCTTTTTTTTTTTTTTGTCAGAGTCTCACTCTGTCACCCAGGCTGGAGTGCAGTGGCACGATCATGGCTACCACAGCCTGGACGCCTGGGCCCAGGTGATCCTTCTGCCTCAATCTCCCGAGTAGCTGGGACTGCAGGCACCTGTTCCCGTCCCCGGCTAATTTTGTTTTTTTTTTGTAGAGTCAAAGTCTCACTATGCTGTCCAGGCTGGTCTCAAACACCTGGGCTCCAGCGATCCTCCCTCCTCGGCCTCTCAAAGTGCTGGAATTATAGGCATGAGCTACCACCCCCTAGAAAATGACACAGTTTTCACTGAGACATGATTATTGGAATTATGTAGAAAAGTCTAGTTGATTGTTTTCTTTTTCCTTTTCATCTAGCCTGGTGTAGACCGACCATTGAAAATGGGAAGCTCTTTTGTTCAAGGGCTTAATAAAGGCATATATTTGACTTTAACAATAATAACACCTTACATATTGATTGCCCTTTAGAATTTATGAACTCCTTTAGGCAAAAAAAAAAAAAAAAGACATCAGAAATACGGTCCTGTCTGGATTTTGTTTGGGATAATCATCTTGGAGATAATCAGTTCTTTTTAAACAGGGCTGGGCTGAGAAGGTGACACCTGTTGGTGGTTTCCCGGGAGAGCCTGCCTTCCCATAGGGTGCATCGCAGAGGAGACCAGAGACATCACTTCTCGCAGCGACCCGAACGTTTCCGTTTCTGTGGCAAATGAAGTTTAGATGGGGCGGAAGCCAGTGCGCTTCCGGGAAGGCGGGCGGCTTGGGCGCTGAGGCCGAGCCCCCAGGGAATCGGCACCTGCCAGGCCTGCCGCGCGGGCT